AATAAACCCATCAGTCATTCGTCACCTTCACGCATCACGCATCTCAGTCTTCTTACTCTAGATAATCAGAATACAAACTGGTGTCAGAAAGTGAAGAAACAAAAAAAAGGAATCGCCCATAATGTCAGTGTTCGTGAAGAACGGATTACCACTACCTCGCCCGCTTCCTCTATTTGCCATTAACAAAAAGAAACAATGGCTTGAGTTCAAAGAGGACTTTCTCGACTACGCTACCTCCAACGATGTTTTCGCGGAAACTCCCGAAATACAAGTTGCTCATCTCCGCTCCGCCCTCGGACCGCAGTGCCGGTCAAAACTTCGCGCCTTAAGCGTGACGATTCCCGAACAAACTTCAGAGGCAATCGCAGCTTTGAGGGCAAGTAAAATCATCAGCATCGAGTTGAAACTGCGTCTCGAGGCGTTCGGAGCCGACTACTGTGGCAAGCAGAACATAGTCATCATGAGGGAGCGTTTCTACAACTGCAATCAAGCAGGCATGGAGGTCGAACGATTCATAGAAAAAGTGATGGAACTCGCCGAAGACTGCGATTTTCCAGCGGACGCTAAGGAGGGACTGATCAGAGACAGATTAGTTCTCGGCGTGTCCAACGCGAATCTGAAAGAAAAACTACTTCAAAGTGAAAAAGCGGAACTTCAGAACATTCTGGACCTCATCAGGCGTTCCGCGTACAGCCATTCCCAAGCAGGTAACGTCCGGAACCCAGGCAGTGGCGGCACAATGTGTCGGAAAACGAATACGGCGTAAACAAACTCGCCGTCGCGCGCCAGAAGACTCACGGAAGAGCGAAGAAAAGCCACAGTGAACAGAGAGAATGGAATAAGACCAGGAAGTGCTGGTTCTGTGATCGAAATCATCCACTGGGAAAGAGACTCTGTCCGGCGAAGGACTATCAATGTGGGACTTGCAAACGGTATGGACACTTCACAACTTGCTGTCGGAGTACACGCAACGTCCATAAAGTTGAGAACGAGTCGTCCACCTCGGAGACAGAGTCTGAAAACGATATTTTCGCGATGGATGTATTGCAGCTCGGAGACCCAAAAAGAAGACGAGTCATGGCGAATCTGAAGTTGGACTACAAAGGATCGGAGCATGCGTTGAGAGTCCAGGTGGATTCGGGCGCCACGGTCGACGTCATGCCGTGGGAGACATACAGGAAATTACGGAACGAAAGAGCCGTCCCACCCATGAAAAGATCTAACGCGAGACTACGCATGTACAGTGGAGATTTAACGGAGGCTATCGGGAAATGCAGAGTTGTACTGATCAATGGAGAGAGACGACACCCAGTGACTTTCCAGGTGGTGGATCTCCCCGAACAACCACTTCTATGCGCGACCTCGTCCATTTCGCTGGGCTGCATAACTCTCGGAGACAACGTGGAGTTCGTGAACCGGGTTCAAACAGGGGTTCAACCGCAAACGGAGCTCGAGCAATTGGTTGATGGCTTCGCGGATATCTTCCAAGGTTTGGGTCGCTTACCGGGAAAGGTGCGAATTCACCTAAAGGAAGACGCTGCCCCGGTCCAGTGCCCGCCACGGAAGGTTCCGGTGGCACTGAAAGACCAGATCATAGAACGAATAAGACAACTACAAGCCCAAGGAGTGATTACACCAGTTCACGGACCGACGACATGGATAAGTCAAATGCTCGTAGTAGCAAAGAAAGGAAAAAAGCTCAGGGTGACTTTAGATCCTTTCCATTTGAACCAAGCGGCAAGAAGATCTCATTACCCACTGCCTGTGCTCTCCGATGTTTTGCCGAGACTATCAAAGGCTAAATACTTTTCGGTCGCAGATGCATCGGATGGATTTTTCCAATGCGAATTGGAGGACGCTTCGACAGACTTGACCACATTTTGGACACCGCTGGGAAGGTATAAATATCTGAGAATGCCCCAAGGGCTAAGCATATCGCCCGAAATCTATCAAGCCAAGCAAATGGAGGCTCTCGAAATCTAAAGGGCGTCGAGGTTATCGCCGACGACATACTCATACATGGTGAGAACTTCGTGGAACACCGGAATAATCTGGAAGAATTCTTCAAACGCTGCCGAGAGAAGAACCTGAAGCTCAATCGCAGTAAGCTCCGCCTCGGAGTCCCTAAAGTGAAATACATGGGACACATATTGTCGAGAGAAGGCCTCCGGGGGGACCCAGAGAAAATCGAGATAATTAGAAAGACGGAACCGCCGAAGGACAAGAAAGCATTACTTCGTTTCCTGGGATCGACAGACTATCTGTCCAAATTCATACCGGGATATTCCGAAATAGCGGCCCCTCTTCGAACGCTTCTCAAGGACAATGTCGAATTCGTGTGGTTGGAGCAGCATCAGAGATCGTTCGAAAAATTAAAGGACTCTCTCTCAAGGGCCCCTCTGCTAGCATTTTTCGATACGAATCGGCCAATCCTGATTCAGACAGATGCGAGCCAGAACGCAGTGGGAGCCGTGATGCTCCAAGACGAACGGCCAGTCGATTTCTGCAGTGCGGCCCTAAAGGCGAGTGAACTTAACTACGCGGTCATCGAAAAAGAATTACTTGCGATCCTAGTAGCATGCAAGAAGTTCGAGCACCAAATTTTCGCGCATCCGAACGTCACCATAGAAACCGACCATCAGCCACTAATCAGCGTTTTTAAGAAACCTCTCCACACAACACCCAAGAGACTGCAAAGAATGCTCTTATACCTTCAGAAGTACAACTTCGAGCTTCGCTACGTCAAAGGAAAACACAACTGTATAGCGGACTGGCTAAGCCGCGACACTTATAGGACAGCGCACGACGCACCCAACGAAGACAATCTGGTTTTTCGAGCCGAGATCAGCGATATCGACGCAGCACTATTGACCCCGATTAAGAACTCAACACTGGACAGAATCGCCAAAGCATCCTCGAATGACAAAGAATCAATACTCCTACGCAAAATGATTACAACCGGTTGGCCCAATAACAAACGAGCGTGTCCTAGCGAACTGACTCACTTCTGGAACTTTCGAGCAGAACTGACGACACAAAACGGAGTAATCTTCAAAGGGGAATCGGTCTTCATACCGAGAGAACTTCGCAGAGAGATGCTCGAAACGGCACACTCGAGCCACTACAGCTTCGCTACGTCATGGAAGAGAGCAAAAGACTGCATTTATTGGCCCACCGTCAAGGCCGAACTGAAGGAATTCTGCGAAACGTGCAACACTTGTTTGGCGCATCTTCCAAAACAAGCAAAAGAGCCGATGATGCTGGGTCCGACAGCGACTTATCCGTTCCAGATAGTTTATCAGGACTTGTTCACATGGAATAACAAACAGTTCTTGGTGACCGTGGACGCCTACTCCGACTACTTCGAAGTTGATAACTTAGGTCTCAATGCATCAGCTGAAAGAGTTGTCACGGCGACGGAGAGACATTTTTCGAGATATGGAGCCCCAGTCGAGCTTCATTCCGACAACGGTCCCCAATTCACATCAACTACCTTCATCGAGTTCCTAAGATACTGGGGTGTCACAGCGGTAACTAGCTCACCATACTTTCCGCAAGGAAATGGAAAAGCAGAGGCCGCTGTCAAATTAGCGAAGAGACTCCTGAAGAAGTGTCTTTTCAACCAGGAGAATTACCAATATGCGCTCTTGGATCTGAGAAACACAATACAAGCAGACAACAAGAGTAGAGCTATGAAGTTCTTTTGTCGGCAGCTCAGATGCAGACTTCCGTCGATCATGGACCAGGGTTTCGTCCAAGACAAGGAGCAAGTACAAGCCAACAAAGAAAAGAAGGAAAAAGCAAAAGAAAGCTTCGACAAATCCACAATAAATCTGAAGCCTCTTAAGGTCGGAGACAAAGTCCGTGTCCAACCGCTGAGAAAATGCGACCTGTGGATTCCGGGCACATGTATGGAACTCGTGGGTCCGAGATCCTATTTGGTCATACTGGAAGACGGAACCGTCATACGGCGGAACAGAAAGCACTTAAGCTCCTGCGAAGAATCAATTCAGAAACGGTGGCAGAGACTAACGAACAGACCGAAACCGACGATGAGGAGTTGGATGCGAACATGCCGAGCCGAACGGAGGAGGAAACCAACATGCAGAGTCGCATGGAAGTAGACTCCACACGGATTGGTGGCACCGAGGTCGACGCGGACATGCAAGGTCGCATGTCGGCAGAAACATCGATGCCAAGTCTCATGGAAGTAGACGAAAGCATGCAAGCAAAGACAAAAACACCAACTGGACCACCGGGGATTCGAACAACAGCAGGAAAGAGAAAACTAGAGATATCGCTGACGAGACCAGATCCGAGGAGAAGTGATCGGATCAAGAAACTCCGGGGATCAAAAGACGTATAGACGAAACGGTAATCAATCTACATCGAGCTGCTTGTAAATAGCCGAATAGGTTTCTTTTGTAATTCCGATTCTAACTATCAATATTTCACAATACAATAATCATGAAGAATCACCCAGAAGGGGGAGATGTTTGTGACCTAGATTCCAATACTCCCGCTGCATATCAGCAGCGCCATCTAACGACGTTCCAATAAACCCACCAGTCATTCGTCACCTTCACGCATCACGCACCTCAGTCTTCTTACTCTAGATAATCAGAATACAAACTGACACACTGCTCATCGCCTCTCGTCTCGCGGGCACAATCATGCGTAGTTTCATTGTCAGAGACCCGACATTTTATATTCATCTCTATAAGTCGCGTATTCTCCCGCGCCTCACATACTGTTGCGAAATCTGGAGGCCCTACCTCAAGAAGGAGATAAAGGCACTCGATCGGCTGCAAAAGAATTTCATTTCGACGAGTGGCATATCGTTGTGATGGGGATAGGGAGACCATCGCACTGGAGAGTTTGTCTGATGTTTTCCATGCGGCTGATCGCAGAATGTTCCGTAGACTCCGCTCCTCCAGATACTTTGAGGAAAATTTCATTGTACACGAGTCAAACCTCCGCAGAGGTACTGCTATCCGCCCGAAGGTCAACGCGCGAACGAAGCGCATTGCAAACATGTTCGCCTGGCGCTCGTGCCGACTGAACCTAAATCGTGTTCCCCCTTTTTCGTAATAAAAGGTGTTCTCAATCGAATGTACATGTATTGGGCCACATTGATAAGTAGAGCCCGTGACTTCAGACTTTAGTTTCATAAATCCGGATATATCCATGCAAATTTGCCCTGAAAAAGGGCCGATATATGAATTACAAAAAAGAAATGTGCACATAAAAAAATTAAGAGCTTCGTGCAGCTTTTATGATACTTTCTGAGATTGACTCAATCCTGCTTAAAACATGCACAATTTTAATTACGGGTTACGGTCGACAATGAGATGCATCCTCAAAAAACGTAAAACTCTGACGACGGTCGCTGAGAAGGTGCTTCAAACTAGAGAAGCTCCTCTCAACATCAAGCGACGTAATCGATGCGTACCTGAAGCAGGCAATCTCCGAGGGCTCGCGGCCAATGCGACGATCCGCGGAGCTGTCCCCCTGTTGTACGTCCTGATATCTTCCAGAATGCTGAAGCCGCCATTACGAATCACAACCGCAAGGCATTCCCTACGGACTCAATCCCTAACATCACCGAGCGATTTCTTGAGATCTCTCACCAGCGCCTCGAGGATACCCACGCTTTCTGCCACGTCCAGTCCCTTCGTTTCCAGTTTCTCGATGGCATGTGGAAGCTCTCCGAAGTTTGCTTTTATAAAAAGGAGATTGTCCCTTACAGAGGGCTTCCTCACTGATTGAGCAGCCGCTCCGATGCTCGCAGCGTCACTTACGTCCAGAGCGTCCAAAACCTCCGAAAACGAATCAGGTTGGTGGGCGCAATAAACCGCTGCGCTCAACCAAAGACCCCATCTTGTCAAAACTGGCTGGGGTGGCTGTACGTCGCTCTCACAATCGGATTCCCGCGAGAATCGGCGGGAAAAATATGGGGCATGCAGAACTTTGCTTCAACGCCCGGAATATGCATTTTCGGGAGACAAAGCCCAGGATATGAATTCTTATGCAATAGATGCATTTTGCATGAAGTCACGGGCTCTATTGATGAGGCTTTTATTCTGGAATCGAAGTTGCACCTGTCTCTTTTAGTAGGTTCGGCTGGCACCCTTGTCGACCATAACCTCATCCCGGTATTTTTCTTCTTTCTTTCACGCTCCATTCGGCGAGTCGTTGAGGATGTTCCACCCGCGTGCAGTTTACTGTTTCTCCAAGTTTTACACTGTCAGTTAAGTTCCTGGAGCGTGATACAGAACATTTGATTCCCACGGCTGCATCCTAAATGTCAACTATTAGCTTTCATTCACCAATATACACCTGACTTTTCGTTGTTGACGGAAATCTGCCAGAACCAGGTAAAGTATTCGCATCAAAGGGGAGCTCGAAATAAACACCGGTCCTCTTTGCACCATTACAGCTGTGCGGTCTCACTAGCGAGCTTAGGGTTTCCGTAAATTTGTTACAAAATGTGGATTGAAGCTAGTTGCGCCCGGAGGTTCCTACGGAGAAATGTTCAGGACAAACTACGAGAAAGTGAATCATGCCCCATTGGGTGAATCTCACCGCGCCTTTCACCGCGGCTATCAGCCTCCGCTTTCCGGGAAAGAACCGGTCCGCTTTCTTGTCGGAACTGATGGGCAGAATCATAACCACACGTGAGATCATGATCACAGTAAAATCTCGGTACACCGAAAACCGTTTTAGCGAGCTTTTTCAGTACAACGAACACTTTCCTTCCCCGCTCGTTGGCTAGCTCGCCATAGAGCTAATGCTGAAACACTCTTTCTGTACGGACCCAGCGAGTCCGATATTTTGGGAAGCTGCTTTCCGGCTCAAGCGGGGATGCAATCTAGACAGGGGAGCACGAGAATTCGAAGTCATGCAGGCCGTCGAACGGCGGATCTCTTCCTCTAGTTGACTCGAACTCCCGGAAAGCATCACTCAGGGTATACGTAATGAATCGATCCATTCCGTAGAGGTCAAGGGTCCTGGTATTGTGGGAATTGGAGCACGAGGCGTTCGCTAATTCGGAGGCGCCTTCCGTCCACGGTGCGGCAAGTGTCATGCTCTCGCTGTCACAATCATCGATCCTTGTTAGAACAACAAATGGTATCCCCGCTTGTTGCAGGGATATTCGCACTATGTGTTTAGCGAAAGCGGACTTCGTTTCGCTTCTCTGGCGCCTCCTGTTGATGAGCGTCAGACGATGCGGCGAGAAATGCCGATCGAAGAAATTGGGGAACTTCCGCCGTGCCTCGTAGATGCGACGGCGCTCCTCCTTGGAACTCCTACAAAAAGATGCACGAAAAGAGTGAATGATAGAGAAAGACTGTGAAATACTAATAAAGACGACACGATCTCGAAGGTATTCCCCTTAAGAGTTTTCAAAAGTCACCTCGAACTCGACTCTCGTCGCGATCCCGACCTCTTGCTCATGGTCGCGAACTTGTGTGACGAACCCATCGACGAGGACTTGGATGCCCAATATCATAAGTGCCGGGGCAGTGTCCTTTCCAAAGAACTTCGGATAACTCTATCTTGCATTCACTTCATATACACAGAGCGCAGGCGTCGCGAATTCGGAGAAGCCTACCCCGCTTCACTCCGGGAAGTAAGACTTTTTATAAACATACCTGTGTCATTCCAAGACGACGGCTCAGCGAAAAGAAGTCTTACTGAAATTAATGTCCCAAATGATCGAAAGAGTAGATGCACATGCACCCGCCGTTGAAATTGAACTAGTCCGATGGTGTGGAATGTGATGACGAATGAACGACGGATGCTCGGAAATTATTCAGCCATATCCTCCGAAATCCACCGTCGGCGATTCAGTGTCACTGGTATTCTCATTTCATGGAGGATGAGCTCGGTGGGAGCGTCACAGTCATCCTCAGACTGAGACTCCTCTGCGAGTATAAATGATGAACCTTGATCACGTTACAATCTTCTGTCGCGACACGACCGCGACGCGGGCTGTCCCGTGACCCCGGTGGAGAATCCATGCATGAGCTCAGGCCTCGCTCTAAATACGTATACGTATGTATACAGCGATACAAGGATGTGGCTCATAGCGAACTCGACTGAAATTGCAAAGAAGGACATATGCGAGACCCTCGACTATTCAGGCGACCACCCGTCGCCGGGGGCGACCGTGAGGAGGAAATTTACTCGCCAGATTCAATATTTCGCGCGTTTTTCTAGCCAAGTATCCTCGGGAACTTCAGGCCGGGCTCTGGGAAATACGGAGAATCTTCAGAAGCTGCCATCAGGCTCCCAGGTCTCGGACGTATCCTGGGAGATGGGTTCTTTCACTAGATACTATTTACCCGAGCCTTACACCGCAGTCGTATTTCCGCTCTCCTCGGCCGTTCGGCGAGGCAATTTTTCTTCAGCTCTTCTACCTATTCCCCGAAGATTTTCCTCAACTCCTCTCTCATGCGCAGTCATAGTTCCTTTTGGGAATTGTTGATATCCGCGTCGATACCGTACTCAG